TATATATAATCTTATATTACTAAAGTGATTGTCAGCAAGAATGAGCATTCTGTTGTGCAATATAAGGTGCTTGCTAGACACATATAGTGACTTTTATCACATGAAATCCTTTAAACTGTGCATACATAGTCATTATCATAAAGATTAGGTGGATCAGCTAAAACTTTTAATCAACTGTACTTATGTCAGTTGGAAGACACTAAGAAATCACATCCCTAAGCAATGTAGCATTACCTGTTGTGAATCGTTCTTGCCATTGTTATTGTTTCATTACTGGTAAGCATAGTTTTTTAATAGTTGGGGGAGAGTTTCCATAGGTTGTTAGTGTTCAGTTTTAACTGGAAAGAAGGGATGTTCATACATAGACAACATATGCACAGGCAATGTTCAAACCAATAAAAGAAGTTAATTTATTCCTTGCCCTTAACCATTGTGAAGGTGGGGAACTGTAGCTGCAATTCCAAGCACACCTAACTGGGGAGTAAGGGGGGAGGCAGGAGGTTATTCATGGGACTTGAGATGATTTTCCAGAGGCCACCCAATGTCCCATTCCCCAAGTACAGTCTTCCCAGGAGCATCTTCCTGGGCAATGCCGGCAATTGACTGCAAGTCCCAAAATGGATTTTCTCATGTTTCTTCGGCTGGATAGCACTACCTACCCTGACACCTGCTGCAACCCTGACTCATCAGAGGTCACTGAGGAGGTGGTTTCACGGCATGCAGTACTGGCCCATGGCCAGTGGAGATGTCAGGATGGAGGCTGAGGGAAGGGAGAGAGCATGGATGGGTCTTCACTGGAGCCCCCAAATAGGGACCACCACCAGACAGCAGCAAAGAGTCCGAGGTTCTGCATCTCTGCTGTTATCTAGTGACAGCCCCTCTAAGGTCTCCTTAGAGCACCCAGGACTATTCAAGGAAGAGGTAGCTTCTCGTCGCTCTGACTTCGACCTCTCTTGGAAACCAAGAACATCCAGCCAGACGAAGAGGCACACCGTTTCTTCCCGGCTTAGGCTGTCAGCCCTTTTAATCCCGGCGAGGCTTAGCGGGCAGCGCCCCCTATTCTCCCTTACCTGGTTTGCCTCCACAGGAAGGTCTGGATAGGCAGCGGAACCCCTCGGCCGCTCTCCTGGTCCTGGCCTTCGGAGCTTTTCCTCTTCACCATGATGCTGGTTCCTGGGCCGCAACAGCTGTTAGCCCATCTCTCCGCTTCGCCGCAGCAGCCCTCTCTGCCTCCGGCTCCGCTGGTGCAAAATGGCTGCAAAAACAGCGGCCGCAGCCAAGCGGGGAAATATCAG